GCGTCAGGTATTTTGTTAATTTGACGATCCTCAATCGGCCAGTAAACATTATACTCAAGTAGCTCGAGCTTTACCTATGACGCCTTGCTAAACGGTAGCGTACGTGGTTCCAAAAATCCCAATATCACGAGAACTCATTCATTAGCTTCACCTTATCTGTATTATTGTTACAGCTCAATGACTTATCAGGTCTATTTTCGGTCTCGGTTGTTTTACTTCCCTATTAGAGGGAAAGAGTGAAGTCATCCCAGCCTGGATCCCCAGTTTTTACCTTCACACGGTCTCAGCACACTAACAATTATGGATTAGCTGGTTGTCGTCTAAGGGCTAACTAGCCCTTACTAAAGAAGATATCGTAATATATAGTGTTTTTTTTATGACACCCCCTTTGATTAGGGATACTTAAGCTCTTCATAGAAGACTGATTCTTGTGCAGTTAGGGATGAGTTTGTTTGTGATACGCGCAAGTGTAAGTTTTAATCCAGGCAAATAATTACGCCTGCGCGCATCATCCATATTTCTGGGCCAGTTTTACCATTGGAACACTGTTGTTTACTAACCTTATATAACGTGGATGTTATACATGACTATTTCAAGTTTCTACCCAAATACCCGCCTAAGTCACCACGGAGTCCTCTTCTGGTTAGAGGGGTTGTGTCCTGTCTCGAAAGACACGACGGTATGTCGATAAGATACTGGTAAGTTGGAACCCCGAGAACCGATAAATTTCTGTTTTGCTACTAAACGTGAATTTCGTCAGTGCACGTTATTGGACGTGCCCTACAATTGAAAAAGCACCGTTTTGATTTTGTATGCACGCAAACTTTTAGCTTTTCCTTGAAATCATATTGTGGAATTTTCTTTTATCAGATCAATGACGGCCACTGTTTTTTTAGGCGAAGAATGGCGTTCACATCCACTGTCCATGTTTAGTGATAAGTATCATGAGGAACAACCTGAAGATAAGAATCTGACTCGGCCTGTTCGGTAAGTTCTAAGAAGAGCAATGATGTGATATGTGTTGTGCTGTTAAATCCGAAATATTACAGAAGCGGGTGTTGTTTCCTCCTGCAGAAAATTCTACAAGAAGCAAAACAAATTGATCCGCGAACTGGAGTCAGTCGTCTCGCTACTTGACGCCGACGATACTGCTCGAGACGAGGCCGTTTTGACAGTGCAACAACAGCGCCGTACGAATCACATACTAATCATAGTAACATTCGTTGCCAACTTGGTAAGAGATGTGACTAGGTCGTCTCGGTATTCTCCCCTTCATTTTCTTTAAGAGCTCATTGAAAAAATTAAACTCTTCTCCAAAAGAGCATTTGTTTACTGGGGCTACGTATACCAGTTACGCTAGGTACGCACAAATATGGTCAGCAACTGTATTCGTTTTCGCTAGGCAGTCTCCGCCATCGGAGTGCCACCTGCTAAGGCGAACGCTTGTAGTAGTTGAAGTAGCACTTAAACATCAAATGTGCAATATGATTTCGCAATGAAATATCGTTTACTGCAGCCATACTGCATACAGGATACATCGATCTTAACAAATGAAATTACGCAAGTAAGTTTCGGTTTGAAGTAAAACAAGAAACAGACAACTGCGTTGAGATGGCGTTCGATTAACTTCCATGTTATTGAAATGAGAACATGGTTATTTTGTTGTCATCTAAAATTAATCGATAGAATGCAGTTACCTACAAACATCTTGTCTCCTATAGTTTTTGAAAGACTACGTGAAAAATAATTGACTTGGTTGGAGGCGCTGCGAATTCCTGCTAGGCACTGAAGGGAATCCGTCAGAAGGGAAAGAAATTAGGCACTATTACTGACACTTGAGCTTATTTAAAATTTTTTCATTCGTGTAGACATCAGCATCACAATGTACTCTTGTTTGCTTGAGTGGTTAAAATGTCTGCAGTGGCGGAGCCAGGAGTTTTGTTGGCATGCCACCTAGTCCCATAATCCACGTCAGAGACTCATGGTGAACGCTGCCCGAAGTCAACAAATTAGATGGCCCTCAGTTGCTTGTAGTAGTAGTAGTTGAATCCAAGGTGTTGCATTGATGCCCCTTTAGAAACTCGGCTTGGTAGGGTTTCGTACTCTAGTCACACACAGACACACCGAACTCGCGCAAAAATGACAACGGCGAGGACCTTTGTACCAACGCCAATGAAGTTTATGCCACGGTAGTTTTCACACTTTGTCTTGTCTGCCTTGACATGCACATAGATGCCTGAACACCAGGTAGTGAGGAATGAACTCATCTTCCTACGCTAGTCAAATCATTTCACGGAGCCACACCACAACAGACGGCAGGGTATT